GTTACACTTTCTTCTGAACTTTTCCAGTTAATCTAGTTCAACACACACGTATGTATGCAAGCAGGCTTCAAAAAGTTCATGGAACATGGAATTAAAAGATAATGGCATGTTCCCACAAACTTTCTGCAGTAACTTCATACTTATATGGTGGTGGTGGTGTGTTGTGGACTTGGTTCTGACTCATAGCAACCCTTAATAGGGTTTCTGAGGTCTTAAATCTTTAAGGGATCAGAAAGCCTCATCTCCTGCAGAACGGCTGGTTGCTTTGAACTGCTGACCTTGAGGTTAGCAGCCTGCTCGTAACCACTACGCTACCAGAGCTTCTTTCATACACATGTATTTTTTTCTATAGAAGGGGCCATATACAATATACCTCCCTGTGTATCTTGCCTTCTTTTCCCCCCACTAACATCAGATCTTGGAGCTTGTTACACATTACTATAGAGTGAACCTTCTCATTCTTTTTAGCATTTGAACGTACTATGAACATACATACTAAATGAGCTCTGGTAGCGTAGTGGTTAAGAGTTGGGCTGCTAATCTCACAGTCAGCAGTTCGAATCTACCAGCTGTTCCATGGGAATAGCTTTCTGCTCCCGTAAAGATTTACAGCCTCGGAAACTGTGCAGGCTCACTGTGAGTTGGAACCGACCCTACAACACATTGCCACCGCCACCGCCACTACCATGAGTATACTACAATTTATTTAACAAGTACCCTCCCAATTGATGCCGTTTAAGTTGTTTTTTGCTACCAATCTATGTTTTAGTCATTTTTATATTTTCAGTGTCTATTTCAATATCTGGCATAGAGTAAATCTTCAATAAACGTTGTTTAATAATGAGTGTAAGACAAGGAGTTTGTGGAGAACAGGTATATTAAAGAACATGTACTAAAAGAAACCCAAACCTGCATGTCAATACCTAGTGTGAAGGAGAGAGTCTGACTTTCTATAAAATGCATGGACCTGAAAGTTAAAGATATGTGCAGATTTCCTTTTCTAAGAAAGCACTTTGACCTTCTATAATAGTTTGAATAGTTATCTCACCTTTGATCGTAACTTGTCTTACAAGTTTATTGTCATTCCCAATTACGACAGGTATCCTTTCCCCATCACCTTCTTCTAATAATAAAGATGATTATAATCAATGTACATGACTGAAGCCTTTTAAGAAATTATACATGTCTCTTTTGCATTAAATAGGAAGTCTCAGGCATATCTTTTGAGACTACACTTTAATCATTTCTGTATTCTGGGTTGTGTATGGTTTTGTATATGTGTGTCTGTCTGTTCCTTTTTCATATCACGGCTAATTCATACTTAAATATAATATAAATGATATTTACATGTTACAAAAAATTATAAAAAGACATTACATGGAAAGTAAAAGTTCTTCCCACATTTACTTTTGGTAGGCTGAAAAATGACTCATCAAAAAAAAATTTTTTTTTACATATTAATCCCTAGGGTCTTTTTTTTTTTTTTTTTTTTTTAAATTATGAAAGTTTACGGAGCAATTAATTTTCCCTTCTACAATATTTGCACATTTTGTTTCGTAACATTGTTATAACCCCCTCAATGCAACAGCAATCTTCCCTGGGCTTCAAGGGAAAAGATTTTGTAAATGTGATTAAGCTAGGAATCTTGAGTTAAGATCATTCTGGTGGGCCCCAAAAGTCACCATGTATTATAAATGAGAGGCAGAGGGGGATTTCACACACACACAAACACATACATGCAGAGGAAAGAATGATGTCAAGACAGAGGTAGAAATTGGAGTGATGAAGCCAAAAGCCAGGGAATGAATGCAGCCACCAGAAGCTGCAAGAGCCAAAAAAATGATAATCTAGAGCCTCTGAGGGAGTGTAGCGGCTCCATTAGAGAAGCACTGGACTGCAAACCACAAGGGAAAACATGAAGCTTTCTGTTCCTGTGGAGACTTAAAGCCTGGGAAGCCCTATGCAGGGTCGCTATCAACAACAGACCATCTGGAGGGATTCTTCTCTGGAACCCTTGACTTCAACTCAATGATACTTAGTTCATACTTTGACCTTTAGGACTGCTAGAGACTAAATTTCTATGTTTTAAGCTATCCATTTGTGATAATCTGTTAGAACAATTATAAGAAACTAGCACAGATTTTAAGGAGCTCTGGTAGCGTAGTGGTTATGAATCAGGCTGCCAACCTCAAGGTCAGCAGTTCAAAACCTTCCCGCGGGAGAAAGATGAGGCTTTCTGCTCCCGTAAAGATTTACAACCTTGGAAATCCTATACAGGGTCGCTCTGAGTCTGAACCGACTCCATGGCACACAACCACCACGACCACCAGTATGGATTTCGGTACTGGGAAATGGAGGGCCTGTTGTGACAAATGTCTAAAAATGTGGACGTAACTTTAGAAATGGAAAATGAATAAAAGCTACATGACTTTTAGGCACATGATAGGGAATATCTAGATTACCTTGAACAGCCTATTGGTGGAAACAAGCTGTCGAGTTGGTTCTGACTCATAGTGACCGAAGCACAACTGAATGAAACACTGCCCAGTTCTGTGCCATCCTAATCATTGTTAAACTTGAGCCCATTACTGCCACTAATCCATCTCATTGGGGGG